TGAAAACACGGCCTCAGAGATCCGCGGGTCTCCCAATCCCTTTCCGCAGGTGCAGCGGGGGACGGCGGGGCGCCGCGAAGCGGTTTGTACGGGTGGGCCAGGTGGGTTGATACACCCGTCGTCCCGACCCCCACTGCGCCTCCGAAAGAGGCGACCACTGATGCAGCGACCGATTTCCGCACGAAGACAGCACGAAGGGATCTCGAATCGGAGGAAGCCGCCTCCAAGATCCCGAAGCGCGCGAAGACAATGTAGTTGCACATGTGGCCACCGGACGGCGCCACCGTCTTGCTCTCGGCGCTGGTTTGGCAATTTCAAAAGATACTGGGTGTATCTAGTGCCACTAAATAAGCTACGTGTATCAAGGAGTGGCCAGGCTCTTTGTTGCCCACTGAAGGTCCGTTCAAACTCTTGGAACCGAGTACGACCAAAAGAGACCAGACCAGTTTTTAAGCCTCTTGCGACGTCTTAGAACCGGATGGTGCTAAGACGTTGAAAGAGGCTTAAAAACGGGGCTGGTTCTAAGACGTCGAAGAGGCTTAAAAACGGTCTGGTCTCTCTCGGGCGTACTCGGTTGCAAGTGTAAACGAGCCTTGATGGTGCATTTTTTTTTTTTTTTTTTTTGCAAAATTTGTGAAGAGCGAACTTACCTGAGGAAGAAGCAAAGAGAGAAAAAGGCTTAGCTCCTATGGAAACGCAGCGAAGCCATCGGTCTTCAAACAATACGGCGCCGTTTCGCACAAGAGACAAGAGATGGCGCAAGCTGTCGCGATGCCAACTGCGCCAACGAACGAGCATACGGCGCCGAGAGCCGGCGTCCTTAGCAAACGATCTTTTCGACTCAGAAGCGGCGCGAGCTTTTCCGATATCTGTGGCCAATGCAGTACTTGATCATCCCTTTCGGCTAAACCTAATTTTGCGGTCGATTTAAAGAGCCTGGCCACTCCTTGAAACACCCAGTAGATGTTTGTGTGCTTCGATGATGATATTGCATGCGCGAAAGCAGGCTATCGGGTATCGGAACGATCTACTAAAACTTATACTCCATTTCACCTTACGTCCGAGCGCAGCGGATTGTACGAGCCATCGGAGCCAATACAAGGCCATGTGAGTGTCACATGACCTTGAATAGTGGACACTGCGACGTGCGGAAAGCGTATCACGGGCTACGTCCACAGAGTGGGATTGGCTAGGGTAGCTCGTACCGTCCGCTGCGTCCAGACGTAAGATAAAACAAAATATAGTAATAAAAAAAAAAAGTCTTGCGGTGTTATTTCGGTAAGTCGTCGCTCGACTGAATGATGGCTTACTTTACTGGCATATTTTTGCTAATTTTTAGTTATAAATACCACTATAGTTCAGTCACCCAAACAGTTTACAGAATGCCTCCGATGGCAATCAAGCTTTTTCGCAATTCAACGTCACAGTACCGAGACAACACAACAGAACAAACAGTTGCATCCAACAACTTTTTATTTTTGGCATATAAATTAGGTGCCCTCCAGAACACACCGCTGGATTACCATCTTATAGGAAGGGAATCTATGGGATCAGTAGTTAGTGTGTTCATATGATAGATATATATATACAAATATAGTGGTGTAAGTACAGGCTTGCCATTACATCAATACTTTTTTATCGCGTTGGTGCAAAAACGAAAGCAATGCGAGAGCCTTTTGTCGGAGCAGAACAAATATAACAAAACACAATCACTTCATGCAACACATTTGTATAATTATTATTGTACACTATATACAAGAAACAAAACAAATCAATGGAGATAAAACTAGCATCCTCAACTCATTAAAAGCAATAAACAATGCAATCATTCAAAACAACCTTGCCATACTCCAGCAAGTAAAAAAAGGATTTAAAAAAACATTTGAAAGTAAAGAATAATCGAATTGAGTCATTCAATCAAGTGCTATGACTAATATTACCCCGGAGTATTTCCATTTTGTCAGCTTTTAGCTTTATTAGCACTCGTCAGCCACAAAATCTTTACATGCTCACAGAAGATAGCATATGCCAACAAAGGCAAAAATGCAACAGCAATAAACCTAACTATTGTGCTTTTAAATACAGTTGAATAAGTTAAATACAGGGGTGCCCCTCGATGCACCAGTCACTGAAGCTCACTGGTATGTAGTATACACGATCCAGCTTCTAAGCTCTGGCAGAAAACCCTAGACGAAATCTGCTAAGCGCAAAACTGACTCTCAGCTTACCCGCAAAGCTAACTTTAGCTAACGCAAGCAACCTCAATATAAGTGCAGCCGTAGCTGCTTGCAGACAAAGCATAGACACCGCTTCCATTCCTGCTAAACGGGCAATCAGGAATGCTACAAAGCTAGAAGCAAGATCAGCTCAATCATGCCAGGAAATGCCTTCGACAAGCTCTCATCAACACAAAATGACGGGGGAGGAAAACGCAACTAGAATTGGCCCACGTCCGCTCGTGGGAGGTGCCGGAAGACATTTGGGGGTCCCCGTGGATTTGGTTGGTTGAGATATGAGGTAAGAAAGGATTGCAGGTACAAGGTACGTCAACACAAAAACAAACCCCAGATGAAAAAAAAACCTACAACAAAGACTTCCCCAGTACTTGAGCCTGAACACACTCTTCAGCCCATTCAAGGCACCACAAGGCACTACTAGACGGATACATTCACTTTACAGGAAGGGGGACACAGATGTGATCAAAGAGACAAGTTTTTGCCAATCAGATGAACCGTGAAGAAGCTTACGGTGCAAGAAAAAGAGAAGGGTGATTTTGTTTTGAGGATTTCATGCTGTAAGGACAAGAGAAATTACCGAGAAAATGTCAGATTTTGGATGGCATTTAGCAAATGATGTCCGAACACACCTCTGGCGAGATCTTGAGAATGGGATGACGTACCGTTGGTGAAAAGAATGGAAACGGTTGTTTTGAGCAAACATCTGATTGAATCGTGGTTATTCAAATGCCAAACATTACCTTTTTTTCTTTTGTAGATTGGTTTGATTGGACTTAGGCAATGGGATGTTCAGGTAGTACAAGAAGTAGAGGGAGTAAATTATGAGCAAACCACCAATACATCTGGAGCGTCTCTTGTTACGCAGTCACAGTGGCATATCCAGGGGGGAGACTTATGAGGCTTACGGGGCTTCCACACCCCCCCCCCCCTTTCCCCCGAAATCCAGTGTACACTATAATATATACACATGCACTTTGACCCCCCTTTCCCCTCCCCAATTCATGGACGTCCCAGCCACCTTAGCTCCCTTGCAAAACTACGCCACTGCCCAGTCAGAATGTGCGTAGAAAGAGATGGTAAGATCTAAAACAGAAAAAAGTAAAAGATGTGTGTTTACTCGAAAAAGGTAAAGTTGAAGCACATAAAAAAGGATGGGGATAATAAGACGAGTGAAAACGCCTGGTACAAAGCAGATCGTTGGAGAACCTAACTTTTCAGCAAGTAACACGAAAAAAAAAAAAAAGTGAGATATATTAAAGAAACAAAATCTTAAACGGTCTTGAAAATATGAGCCAATGGTGAGCAAACAGAACTCTACAGGTAAAACTAGAAATAACAAACTATGCCGTAAAAACAAAGGTCAACCTCCATCGAGGTTTTCCTTGCAAAACACACACACACACAAACAAAAAAAGAACAGGTTTACAGTTACCACAGGACAGCACAGACAATGCCCACATTGAAACAAGTGCCATCCGTTCCGGCCATATCTGACCGCTGGTGCGCTCCGACCAACAACGTCTCGCAGGTTCCTCCAATGCCGAGATGTGACCAGCACGTTGACACCTTGCCGACGAGT